GGTCAAGTTCTGTATCACTGTCGATGTGTTCCAAACAAAACTAGATAAGTCATACTTGCTAAATGCAATGGCGAAGTGTGATCTGTGGTCAAAAACAGATTAGCGTACTCTGACTATAAAAGGGAACAGCGGTGCATCGGAAGATGCATGATGCGCCTTCGTTATTGCGCCGGCGTGAAACAATTTGCGAAACAAGCAATCGAAGGATATCGTGGTGCCCAAGGGACAAATTACCACGTATAATGATAGCATATGTTGTCCACTTTTTAGGTAATTGATAGGTATCGTTCCACAACATTTATGAAACCAGAAGCAGTTATGCTTATTTTCCAACAGCTAAAACCAATCTGGCGCTAAATTTGCTATATAATGATGGTTCCCACGCCATAAAAATTCCAGATATGTTGTTTTCAACATTTTTTTCCGCTAGTTTTTAAAAACTATGAATTATACTGTTGCAAATGTCCCAGTTTCCAACCCAACACTCAAAGCCCCGGAAAATTACATTATATTACAATTTTCCTGTGAATTCCGTACATCATCTTAACTTCTGAAAACAGCCTTCTTTCTTCGGTAAATGAACACAGCCTGCAGCACAGGCGGATCCAGAGGAGAGGGACGGAAGTGTGGGAGAGGGGAGCGATGGGTCTTTCGTACCAATGCTGCAGAAGCTCAGGTCTGAAGCCAAAAACAAGGCTTAAAGTAACTTTAAACTAAAGTAACTCTAAGTAGAAGCGTTACAACACTACTCCTAGTTTTTGCACAGTTTCTTCCCCACCTCCCCCCACTCCCTCCCAAGTCTTCCTCCTCCCCCCAGAGTCCATCCTGGATCCGCCTACGACTTGCAGAGCAATAACCGCCGAAAATTCCCCGTATTACAGTCCCAAAATATCCGATTAAGTTTTAAATTACGTTTGAAAGAGCAAGAAGGAATCAGTTATGGCACAAATAAGGACTGAACTAAGAAATTAAAAAAAATTTTTTTTTTTTTTTTTAAACCATCAAGAAATGTTTCGGTCCATTAAGTCGCATGCATTTAAAAATAACCCTGCTACCACAAATGATCGCTAATGCATGATTTTGCTAATGAGACAAGAAAAGCACTAACCAACCGCAGCCACTACGCCACCAAATTCGGTCCAATTCCAGAACGATCTCTTCTCCTGATCAATTTTCTTCTTTGCACTCTAAAAGTGCAATTTACCAAAAATGCGAATTCTGTAATCAAGGGGGAAACTCTCCAAAAATATAGCGTAAATGCGCTGGCGCGCTTAGAGCAGTGACAAGCAACGCTGCTATCTCGCTAAAGAACAAGGGCCTGTCCCTGCCACTGGGTCATGTTCCTCAATGATCTGTTTATTCGTTTCTACGATAACAAGGATAGAAATAAGGAATAATAATGATGACGATAATAACAATGATAATAATAATAATGACAACAATAATAACGATAGTAACAATCAATAATGATAGCAATAATAATGATGGTGATGATTAATAATGATAGCAATAATAATAATACAAATAAGGAATAATAATGATGACAATAATAACAATGACGATAATAATGATAACAACAACAATGATAGCAATAATAATGATGGTGATGATTAATAATGATGGCAATAGTAATGATAGTAATAATAATGATAATAATAAAAATGACGATAATAATAACGATAATAATAATGATTATAATAATAATAGTAATAATAATAATGATATTAATGCAATGTTGACAATAATGATGATGATAGTGATAATAATAATGATAATAGCAGTGACAATAATAACAGTAACAAAATTAACAGTGATAATAAACTGACAGTAATGCTTACTGGGAAGGTGTAGTAACAGTAGTACTGTTGTTAGAAAGATATAACATTTTACAAAAGCATAATTAACCTGCTGTTCCGAGTTGTTGCAAGCTTGCGTCCCAGAGCCACTGGTCGCTGTTACAGGAGGCTCATCGAAATCCCAATCATCGTCCCAGCCATCGTTATTATCCGCTCTCCCTGGTTCTTCGCTCCCTTCCTGACCATTGTTCGGGGCAGTACTCGTTTGCCAGGCTGATTTGGAATTAACCTGTTCATCCGGTTGTTTGCATATCTCTTTCTTCGCGATAGATGTTTCGCTAAAGGATTTCGGAGGACCCACTTCTTCGGGAAATCTTTCGGCTTCTTCCCGTTGCACAGCTTTTTCGTACGATTCAGCAGCCTTCTTGCTTTCCTGTGGCTTTGGATCGCTGGATTTTGTAGTACAATGATCCCTGGTGTGGGTCACTTGAATAGCCTCCCGGCGTTGGCCAAGGAAGTTGCCAACAGAAGAAGTATTCTCGCTACTTGCCGTACTAGATCTCGAACCACTCCTGTACTGCTGCACATCTGTTGCTTTCGGTTGCCCGGCAATCCTTTCCCGTTCCTCATCGACATGTAACTTCGTTACTTGTAACTTCTCAGTTCCCCTTGTGCCACTGTGATCTGCCCCCTTTCGTGTATTCTCGTAAATGCTCCGGCCACTGGAGACGCCGAAACCCTCGTTGTCCTGGCTCTCCTCGTCCTCGTCCGACAAGCGATCTACTGCGCTGTGAAATGATTCGGTGTCCGAGTCGGCGGCCATCCTGAAAAAAAAAAAATAAATAGCAACGCGCACCAGACTACCCGGTGCGATCATGATTTTTGTGCAATTCTGCCCATTGAACGATTGCCTATTAATGATTTTCACTGCTTCGTACTTTTTTCTATGCAAAAATAGTACAAACATTGGAAAATAGTTAAAAATTTCACGCACCAGCGCATGAAAGCCGAATTCGAAACTTTAAAGGGTGAATATCTTTATCCCGAGTCAATAGTTCACCCGCCAAAATTTTCACGAGGCCATAGGTGATACTCAAGAGCGCGGAACGCTGAATTTAAATAGGCATGGTTGAGCGTGGGCAGGGGTTATTACCCCAGAATTTCGGCCTCCTAAACTCCGTGGTTCCCGAGATATTAATTTACCCGTAAAAAACTTTCACGGGACCGCACGTGTTACCCGCGGGTACGGGGAAACTGAATTTAAATTTGCGGGGTCACATGTGGATGGGGAACGTTACCCTAAATTTTCAGCTTCCTAGCACTTGTAGTCCCGAGTTGAAAGTTGCGGACAAGTTGCTGCGGACACACACACACACACACAGACAACCCCGTGACAATATGCGTTTTGTACTCCGTTACACAGCACAAAACGCATAAAAAACCAATATCACATACTGTAACAGCTCTGTGCACCGAAATAATACGACTGAACTTCCCAAACAGAACAAACAAAATAATCATATTCCACGTGGCACAACCCTACAAATAACCCCGCTTCATCTGACTGATGCGGCTCAGCCTACTGTTCTATGGCGTATCTCTTTGTTCTCTAGCAAAATACCGACACCGCTGTGTACACTGTCCAGTGCTTAGAGAGCTGTACTGATGATTCCCATCCCTAACCACACCTTGCACCGTCTGTATTTACAGCTAAGGGATGAAACACAGACAGACTACCCTATATATTCCTGGTACATGACCATTTAACTTGTCAAAAGATTTGTACCACATTAACAAGCCATCTACCTCCCACCATTCAATATCTGGTTCTATCCTTCCAACCTTAAAACATATGGAATTTTTTTGGTTCGCACAGTCTCTTACTTTATATGGTATGCTTCGGCCTACCTACAGCCGCAAATTACCACTTCACAACTTTGACCTCCCTGTTGGTCGTGCTTTGGGAGGGCAAATTTTGGCTGGGCGTCTGTGGCCTTTCCTTTTCTTGAGAAAGAGGTTTTTTTTTTTTTTGTAAAAGAGATTTTCGTTAAAAAAGAAAGAAATTTTCGTTAAAGAAGCCGAGTTTGATGATCGATACCTTAAGGATATCCTCGCTCCTCACCAAACGGCAACTACAAAAACTAAGCTCGGCTCGGCTTATGATGCTAAGTAAGAAACTTGGTGATGAGTTAAAGCTGGTAAGCTTATGCTTGCCAGCTCCCAGTCAATATCTAATTTCTTGCTTAGCATCATAAAACCATAAACGGAAGAAGTGAGACTCAATTAACTGGTAAAAAAAAATAACGATGCTGCTAGCAACTAAACCGTACTGCAACAAATGAAGCAGGAACAATGATCATGTAACATCGAATAAACTGCTAAAACAATGATATATGTTTCGGAATCATTTTGGAAATAAAGGGAAGCTGGTGCACGCATGTTTTATCGGTTTTTATGCGTTTTTGCATATATGTAAATTGCAAAAACGCATATTGGGAAGAGGCTGTC